AAAATTGATTTATTCTCATAATTTTAGATGACAATAACCAATAATAAAAATAAAAGCATTACTTAATTATTTAAATTGCTGGTTCTTAGAGCTGTTAATAATTAAGAACACAACGTGAACAGCCGTGTTACAAATTAGCATTCACCCTCCCCCCGTATTTTCTTCCTTTCATCCCGAGCCGAGAACCGGCATCTATCTACAAAAATATTTCTATCTATTTGTTGTTAAAAAATTCAGAAAAAATAATAATAAATAAGAGAGAATAATATAAATCTGCAAATGCGAACAACGACAGTGATCATTCAACAAAAATGAGCGCAAGAGGAATGGTTGCAAACTTCGAACAAGCGAATAGGATAAATCCGCTGGGTTACCAGGTTTGAACTATTATCGCCAAAGTTGGCGATGTTTACATTTACCGGGTTCTCTGCGGAAGTGTTTCCAGAAATACAAATAACATTGTATCGTTTTGATCATACAGAAAGAAATACAAATAACATTGTATCGGCCTCACGTACTTATCACATTCCACTTCAAACATCTCGTGCTAGAAGTAAAAAGAACATAAATAATACTATAAATAACTTCAAGAATCATTGAAAGTGCGAAGATCAAGAGAGCAAGTGGCCTTCTTGGGTAAATGAAATAGATATATCATAGCTTGTTTCATGTAAGCAAAATAATTCGTATGTAAACACTGAAGCGGAAAGTTTAAATTATTTATTTTACAGATAAGAGAGTTGATAAATTACGCTTCCGTAACATAGATTCAAGAAATCTGTTTATTTTGATGTTTGGAGAATTCACTTATTCCGTCTGACTAGTTTTATATGCTAAAGCAGTGCTCCGCAACCGGTGTGCCGCGGCACACTGGTGTGCCATGAGTAGGATATAGGTGTGCCGCAGTCAAATACATGTATTTGACATTTTGCAATTTTTTATCATGTATTTAATACACAATGACAATTTTTTTTCCTTAATAAATGTCTATTTTAAATGTATTGAATGAGTACTAATACCAATAAAAGTGTTGTATGAGTATCAATATCAGTAACGTATTGTATGAGTATTAATATCAGTTAAGTATTGTATTTAATACTAGTAAAGTATTGTATATGCATATTTGCTCATGCATATATCGCATGAGCAATAAAAACAGTCTTACAATCAGTAAAGTATTGTATCACTAATATATCAGCCTTGTATCAGTAGTGTAACAGTTATATTTCATCAGTAATGTACAAGTAATGTAACAGTAGAACATTGATCTATGATATTTTAATTCTCATTTTTCTTTTTTGGGGGGGGGGATCTCTGTAACGTATAATTTCGTGGATTTATTTACCGACTTGTGCAAAAACATTCCCATTTCATCAGTATTAATATTCAGTTTTATATCAATGTATCAGTAATGTAGCAGTATTAATCAGTGTTAATATCAGTACCAGTATTATATCAGCCTTTAATCAGTTCTGCATCTGTCATATTTGCATCAGTAATATACCAGTAATGTATCTTGAATATTAATCTGTAACTCTGTAACATATTATATTGTATGTCTTGTCGTGCACGTTGAATACCTTTCAGGTGGCATTATGTATTTTGAAGGGGTGCTATAGATAGTGGTGGACGTGGTGCTATACTAATTAACCGTTTGTTAAAGGGATAGTGCCCACGTCCTCCGTTCTCTCTCTCTCTATTTTAAATGTTTTTATATATTTCACTGTTGTGTGGTTGTGTGTGTGATAGTAAGTGTGTCAGCATTTGAATTTTTTCGGCACTTCCTTGATAACTCGGAACTCTTTGGTGTGCCACGAAATTCCAGAAAGATTTTTTGTGCGTCGCAGGTGAGAAAAGGTTGCGGAGCACTGTGCTAAAGTGCCCAATTTCCCGAATTATGCAAACAGGCACACATTGCAACGAACTACTTCGGAATACAAATCGGAAATGTTCCGCATTTCGTAAATATTCCGTATAACCCGTACGGGTTCGCATTCTGTAAATCTTCTCTGTTTATATGCTATATAATATATATTTTCACAATGCCACTCTGTACTATTATACAGATTTTGTGTTACACAGTCTTTAACTTTTGAAGGTCGTTAATCTGAAATGATATCTGAAACTTTTCGCGATTACAGTATTTCCTTTATTTGGTACAAGGAAGTAAAAGTACACAATTTACCACCATAATAAGAGTAACAAAATCTGATGTGTACACCACATGACTTCCTTGTACGCAATATTAAATTATACGCATTTTTTCTTGCATTTCATTTAAACTTATTAGATTAAATTAAAAACCTACTTCGCCGACAGCGCATAAACCACAACAGAATAAATGCATTCTTTAAAATTCACTCTAGTATTTGTTTACCATAGCGACACTCTGGCGCTAGGTTTACTTAACAGTATTATATTTCGTTCATATTATAACTCAGAATGCACAAAATGTATATCATTTAAAGAATTATCTAATCGTTGCCACATGTTCTATTCAAATACTATAATAAAGCTAGAACTATGTCTAAAAGAAATTAAGCAAACAAAACAAAAAACAAACAGTTTTCCACAGACGATTGAGTATTTCTCATTCAATTAATTCAGTTTTCACTTCGCGACAAGGCAAAAATACATAAAAACTCAAAATATCTGTATTAAAAATTACGAAGTAAATCTTAAACGCTTATTTCCTCGAAAAAGTTCCAGAAAGGATTAAGCATGATTTAAATAATAAATGAAGGCGTTATCTTTGTTGTTGCAAAGCTAAGTTTCTCTACATTGGCAACAAATCCGCTACTCAGCTGTTTCAAATGTAAACAAATATGTCCGCCATGTTATTTAAAACTTAACCGCACTTAAACAGCTTTTAAATTGTTGATAATTGTACAAATATTGCTTCCAGAATTACGAAAGGCATAAAAACCTTAACCCGAAGATAAGAACAACATAATTCAATCATTTTTAAAGCAAAACAATGTACAATTTACAAACATATAAGAGTAAAGAAACTGAGATCACTGAGCCGGGTAACAGAGTGGATATATTTATAAATATATTTATATACGTTTGGCGCGGCCGTTTGAAACCAAAATAGGAGGTGCACATCTACATGTTATAGTAGTCTTATATATAAAATTTCAACGTTCTAAGGCTACTCGTTTTTGAGTTATGCGAGATCGTACAGACGCCACGAAAAATTCTCTTCAGAATTAATTTTAAAGCAGTTTTTTAGTTTTTTTTTTTTTGGGTGAAAAGAGTCTTTTATTCTGTCCTTACGTACAGATATCACGCAAAAACATCGTTAAATTGCATTCGAAAGCGGTCAAAGTGGATATTTTCGTTGAAATATGTTGCCTGAAGCTTTTCGCGATTACAATACTTCCTTTTTAATTTGTACAAGGAAGTATTAAAGTAAAGGAAGTAAAATTAAACCTCCGAGTCGGGTAATACATGTTTGGTGCGGCCAATTGCGATCAAAACGGGAGGTGCACAACTTCATGTTATAGCAATTCCATATATAAAATTTCAACGTTCTACGCCTACCCGTCCTTTAGTTACGCCAGATACATTACATACGTACGTACAGACGTCAAGAAAAAATTCTTCTGAATCCATGTTACAATCCTTTTTGGCAAAAACAGTGTTTTATTATGTGTGTACGTACAGATGTAACGCAAAAACATCGTTCAAATGATTTCGAGAGCAGTTAATTTCGTTGAAATATGTTATACCCGAAACGTTTTACGATTGCAATATTTCCTTTATTACGTACAAGGAAGTAAAAATACACAATTTCCCAACACATAAGAATAAAATAACTTAAATCTCCAAGCCGGGTAATATGTATGTGATGCACCAGCTTTTGTCCGGAATAAATAGACTGATGAAGAATTATAGATGTAGTCGTAGCTTAAATTATCAGACGATAAGTTTAAAAAACAGGATCCATTTATTTTTATTCAGGAGAAATAGCAGTTACAAAAATCAGATATCCGGAGTAAATAAACAAAATTACTAATAACTTTTTGTATGAAGTTTACTGCATCGTTACATTAAAGAAAAAGCCCCGATATTCCTTTGCGAGTCCTTTTATGGAAAGGCAGAGCTTCCGAGAAATGACGTCAGCCATTTCATTTCGCTTTAAATATCTCCAGAACATTCTATAACTGTACGTGTAGAAAAGGTGGGAAAAACAACTTGACTACGGGGCTGTAGATTTAATTCCACGTACTTTCAAATAAGAGACCGTCGCCATTAAAAATGAAAAGAACATACAGTTAGAATTTCAAGTGTATTTTTGACTATGGAATTTTATTATTACATGTATATATATGTGTGTGTACATGTTTGGTGCGGCCGATTGCAGTCAAAAAGGGAGGTACACAACTACATGTTATAGCAGTCTCATATACAAAATTCTAACGCTCTGAGGTTTTCCAGCGTTTTTCAGTTATACGAGATACATACATACGTACGTACGTACGTACAGGCATCACGAAAAAATCAGTTCTAAACCCATTTTGCAATCCGTTTTGGAGAAAAGAGTCCTTTATTCTGTCCGTACGTACAGATGACGCACAAAACCATCGTTCAAATGGATTCGGGAGCGGTCAAAATGAATATTTTCTATGAAATATGATGCCCAAAGTTTAGCTAGTAATTTGAAGAGATGATTTAGTTTCCTCTGTTAATATCAAAACCAAATTCTTTTTTGCTTTATACTGATTTCTTTTACACTTTTTATCTTAACATCCTTAATTTCCATTGTAAATATAATATTCTGTTCAAAATTTGATCAAAGTGTATTTTGCGTGGCTACAGCTTTAAAATATGTCAAAACTTTTAAATTTTGTGACCCTTCGTATGGTGTGTTTCTTTTTTCTATAAACATTTCTCTGATAGTGGTGAAAATAATTTTTTTTTTTTTTTTTTTTTTTTTTTTTTTTTTTTTTTTTTTTTGAAAATCTAAAATGACTTTTTCTTCTTTCTCTTTGCAGGGAAAAGATGAAATTTTTTGCTATGGTGTGAATTCCAAGTCAGAATACCTTATCGTCAACATCTCTCGTCGGAAAGATCAGAAAGCCGATGCTTGCATTTATCTGAAATTAGCTTCCGGGAAAACTTACCGTTTGCAAATGACGGATCATTTCCAACAGTCTTGCAGTGATCAAAATGTCTTCTCTTGTGGGGATCTGCAGATGTCTTACACTTGTCCCATGAGGAGGTGGAGAATATTCTACAACGGCTTCTTAAGGTATGAAGAGAACGATTTTGATTGAAATTTATAGTATAAAATTCCAAGAAACTTTGCACACAAACGACATATCTACTTGGTGTCGGAGAGAATTAAATAAAGAACGTTTTTTTATATTTTATATAATATACGACTCAAATTTTCCATAAGACTTATAAATCCGAAAAACTTAACAATCCCTATTACAACTATGGACAAGTAAAAGCAATGCAAGGGATTACGACTTGGCGCGTGATTAAGTTTGGAATAGGATTAGGATTTCGTCTGTGAAAAAAATAATTTTGTTTTGTTTTGTTGTTGTTGCTTTTTGCTTAATTTCTTTTATACATCGTTTCAGATTTATTATAGTATTTGAATAGAACATGTGGCAAAGATTATATAATTCTTCAAATGATATAAATTTTGTGAATTCTGAGTTATAATATGAACGAAATGTAACGCTGTTAAGTGAACCTAGCGCCAAGAGTGTCGCTATGGTAAACAAATAAAGTGAATTTTAAAAAGTGGATTTATTCTATTGTGGTTTATGCGCTATCGACGAAGTAGATTAAATTAATCCAAAGTAATAAGAAAATGCGTATAATTTAAATTCCGTACAAGGAAATCATTGGTCAAATGCAAGAAAAAATGCGTATAATTTAATATTCCGTACAAGGAAGTCATGTGGTGCACACATCAGTTGAGTTAGAAAAAGAATTAAAAGTTTGTAAAGACATTAGGTTGTTTTAAAGCAGGAGAGATGAAAAATGAGCAATGGCCTCGATGCTCTCGAATATGGGCCGATTGTGCTGAGCACTACACCACGAAGAAATACCTTATAAACTTAGCAAGCGTTTTCAGTGACAAATTTTTTATCTTAAACAGAACTAAATAATTTTGTAAGCTACATTTTACAATAACGTACATTGTAAGGTGCATAGACACATCCAGTGAAATTTTTTTCAAGAAGATGACAGCGACAGCGTATGTATTTCCTTCAAAAACTGATTGACTTTTCAAATTTTAGTCGCGTATTTGATCTGCATAAGTGTTTTTTAATTTGCTTAAGTCAACAGTTTCTGCTGATAATTATCATCTTTTCATTTAATCATACACACATTACACGTTTTCAGAGTCGTAGCTAGGGTTTTCAGCGCCCAGGGAAAACTGAAGGTTTCGCGCCCTCTACGGCTTGCCAAGAATGAAAAACATTTAATTTAAACGCTGGAGGCTGCGTCCGGGCACAACACTCCCTCCTTGCCCTCTTCTAACTACGCCATACGGACACAAGGAAAACTTAAAAAATCAATTGATAATAAATCAAAATGGAAGTCGGGAATAAAAATACAATAAGTAAATAAAAAAAATTTAAAAACACGAAAGGCTTCAGATTTTAAATTTCATCCAAAGAGGCGTTTTTTTAACATTTTGTCTGTTACCTTTATTTATTAAATATCACGTTCTTCGCACTTAAACCATAAAATTCAGTTCAAAAGCAATATCGCAAAACAGTTTAAATTGAGCCTATCTTTAGAATTTCCGATACAGAGTCTCGAGCGCTGGAGATAGAAAATGTTTTTTTTCTGCACAACGTTGCCATGGCTCGCTTTGAAATTCTTGAGTTTGTTAATCAAAAATTCGTTAACGTTTTACAAAATACGAAATCGATAATAAAACAAATTCCAAATTTCAAATTTGGGCTTCCACATGCCCATATTCGCAGTAGGATTACGTCAATTCAAAATCCGATGGCTCTGTGTACCGTCGTTTTATCACAATGCGAGAAATATACATACATTTATGCAGATTTTTCATTGTTTTAATTTCTTCAAATATAATGCAGGACACTAACATTTGGTGGCAACAGTATGAAAAGTGAAACGGACATTTATAGTGAACAAACGCAAAATCGCAAGCCTCTTTGGACTAACAACATTTATTTAAAATATTCAAGACTTTTGGCTCCAAGAATATACTTCAAATATGTCATATATTCAGATTTGGAAATTATGAGCTGTCAGCTCATACAATAATAAATTATTTTTGTCCCCTTTCAGAGAGACGAATAATGATGACGATTCTGAAACAGGGCGCATGGTCTACGTAAAGTTTGCTTTGGGGTAAGACAACGATTTTTATTCCTGTTGCTCTAATATTTATATCAGGGGGGGGATCTTTCTTTCAATTCAGTTGAATTCTTTCGTAATTTCATGCCAAATTTTTTCATGAGTTTCTCTTTTCCACAGTTCTGATGAACAGTTTCTTAGGAATTATTAACCATTCAGAATTTTACTAAATTGAATATCTGACAATATAGAAAATCAAACTTCTGTTGATTATTAATAGCAAAAATGTGAATTAAAGAATATTTTTAATTTTTTAACTGACAGTTAGTTTCGGAATAAATTGTTCTTAAATTAAAAGCAGATGAAGTTGATGTTTTGTTAGAGTATTCATCAGTGTTTAACACTCGGTGACGCTAAAAGAAACTATACACTATAATAATGTTACGGTTTTTGTATTTATTTAGTTTGCGAATTTTTAATAGAATTGTTATTAAAATTGTTTTATAATCCCGTGCAATGTAGGACAAGACTTTTTTGAAGAGAAAGCTATGCCGAAAAATTAAAAATACAAGAACACGCACATTTAATAAATAGATATCTCGTAAATGTACTCTTTTAATATCCAGAAAAATCGAGAAAATACGAGACTTTTCTCGTGCATTTGAAAAGCTTATAAAAAGGTGGAAGAAAACATCTCAGTTCAGTTTGTTTAAGAAACTGCTGTTGTTTACTGTTGAGAATTCGCGGTGAAATCGGATTTTGAATTAAGTTCTATTGAACGTTTGAGTAGTGTTTTTGTTTTATTTGTTGTGATAATGATAAATTTTACTCGCTTTTCATCGGACTTGTGCATTCAATTTATTACGAACCCGTAGGCACGCGACAATAATATGGGTCAGGTTCATCAAAAAGAGACCGGACGATAAGAACGAAGTTTTACAATTCGAAATACCTTTTAATTTCTTATACTGTCAAAATAACTTCATTCTGCGTTTATGGACCAATGTACTATGCTTTTATACCATCATTTCAAAAGCTCGTTGAGCCTCTTTTTAATATAGAAATATGCCTAGCAGTTTCTAAAACACGGCCTGAACGTTCTGTATGCAGTCAAAATGACAAGGCGTCATTTCGTATTGATGGCGACTGTTACTTATAATGTGTTACCAGTTTTGCTCATATGTAAGTAACGCTTGTACAATATAACATGAAAGGATGGGCCTTTTTTATTTTGCTCTCATAGATAGTCTTTCGCAAAGCAAACGCTTTGTTTTATTGAATGTGAACGCTTTATTTTATTTATTTTTATTTATTTATTATTATTATTATTATTTTGTAAGGCAATATTTAGACAATATTGTTACGAATTTTGTACTTAGATAGGTAATTTTAATAGAATAGTAAGTAACATTGTTGTATTTTTGTGTGTAATGTAGTGCGAGACAAATGTTAAGAGAAAGCTATGCCGGAAAAATAAGAATATAGGGGCAAGTGCATTTTAACATTGAGTAAATGGTTATCTCGGTAATTTGGCGAAAAATTGCCAAAACTTGCCAAATTTGGCGACCATTTAACATTTTGGTCCGATGCCTGTATCACCGTAATAAGTATTGTAACTGAATAAATGTAATTGACCACTATATTAGCTGTAACCGTAATTCCACACTCTTATTGCTTTCCAGCAATTTCGAGAAGCAGAAAGTACTAGAAAAATCTTTGTGGTCGGTTGAAAACTGGCCGAAGAGAGAGCATTTGCTCTCAGTTGCTTAGTAATTGTTGTTGTGATTTGTTAGTTTCGCGTGAATTAAGATATTCGAGTTAACTTTCTCTTTAGAGCGCTTTGCATTGCATTGTGTTTAACGTTCTTAGTAGTTTGAAGTTAACTACGGATTGTACTGCGTGATAGAGACTGCGAACACTTGTACGAATATTCCTGCGGAAAATTCCAGAGTTTTGAAATATTTCTTTCTATAAAAATAAACCTTATTAACCTATTACCGGACTTGTGCATATATGCTATAAAGCTATAAATTAAGAAGTTCGGCAAGTGAATTATTCTTGGCGCAAACTGGAAAAAAATGCGCCAAGATAAATTTTTTAAATTTCTCCATAAATTCTCACAAAAAATTACAAAATTTAATATCTAGGCATAATTTGAGTCGTAAAATCGAAATATGAAAAAAAAAAAAAAATACTGGTATGTTTTTTCAGAAAAAGTCCGATTTTGTATCAAAATACCCATATTAGAACAATGCTGTATATAAATCTAATACATACTGTCTCAAAAGCGTAAGTTAAATTTCGACAATCGGTCCAGCAGAACGGGAGATATAGAAAACTGTTTTCTTTTTTATTTTGTGTGCAAGTTGACCTATGTTTTGTTTCCATGTATGTTAGCTGTTTCAGCTAACTTGCATGGAGAGTACTAACTGTTCTTTTCAAATATGTCGGGCTACTTCGTGACTTGCTTAATGACTTTCCTTTCTTTTACCATGGTTTATGTGGAAGTTTACTTGATTGTATCCATGGGTAATAATCATATATCCTTTATTGGTTGGTCTCTGAAAATGCCCACTTTTTCTTAAACTATAAACAATATTAAAAAAAAAATAATGTCAATTCCTACTTAGTTCAACAAAGACAAATTTTATTTTAATTACTTTTTATTAACATTATTAACATTGTTTCGTTCTTAATTTATGAAGCTGACGGTGGTCTATCATTTCTCATCCTATCCATCTCTTGTAATACGTCATTCTTGCAAGAAACCTTTCCAGTGAGTTTCGAGCATTCCAGTTCTTCAATTAAGAGGACTCATACACCTTAAACCCCTCATAATCTTCGAATATGTGACTTTTGCAAAATTTGGGATATTTTATTTATTTTAAAAGCAATTACTTCCGACTTTCTTCAGCTGACTACATAATATAGCTGCTTTGGAAAATAGTAACCAGAAAGTTTGTGTTGCCACAAATATTTTTGTAATTTAATCCTCTTTGTGACAAAATACTTCGCCATGTTTCCACCTAGCGCGCATGAATTTTAAAAATGGTTAAGGTACAAATTGAAATTTTGATGGAATTCTTTATATGGGACTATTTCTAACTGAACCAACAATCTGATGATTTTTTAATATTGAAAATTTTATGAAGGAAAACATTACAAATTTTTTAATAAATACATTTATAAACTCAACTCAAAATCAAATAAAATTTAACATGAAATTTTTAGAATTTTAGATTCACAGTAGTTTCCAAATGTTATAAAAGTTATATATTAAATATGGAATTAAATTATGAAACAGAATGTTTTAAACTGTGTGCGCAAGGTGGAAACAGGACGAAAAATGTTGTCACAAAGCTGATTAAATTATAAAAATATTTGTGGCAACACAAACTTTCTGATAACTATTTCCGAAAGCAGCTATACTGTGTAGTCAGCTGTTAAAATAAATAAGTTATCCCAATTTTTGCAATAGTCACCTATTCGAACATCCTATGGGTTTTAAGGTGTATGAGTCCCCTTAATATTCCATCTAATGATTTCGGGCGACTCAAGGCGACATGTGCTTGACCTGCTGCGAACAGTTTTCGTTCTATATATATTACCGCATAATCTACAGTGCTACATTGCATCTTATATAGCAATTAGGCCAATGAATTTCGGTGATGAATCCAACCGCACCATTAACCAAAACCCTTCTTCACATCAATATTTGATCTTAACTTCACTTTAGCTCCGACGAATATCTCTAATTCTGCAGGAAGACCACCAGTTTTATTGATGTCAATTGGTATTATTTTAAAAAAAAGTTTAAAAAATTTTTTGAGTTTAAAAAAAACTGTATTAACATCAAGGGTCATCCATTACCAGTTAAAAAATGTATTTGAACTTGAGTGGATGAATAAAAAGTATTTTATTAACGCTTGAAAATTTGAACAAGATGTAGGAAGAGTGTGAGTTAATAGTAGGAATTTAATAATAATGAAGCTTAATATTGAAAATTTTCTTTCTAAGATGATCACCAGCTCAGAAAATCAAAACCGTCTGCAACCGTGGACGGTCGTCTTAAGAAGGTTTTGCGCCGATAGAACAATAAATCTTAAAAACCATCCATTTCTTTTTAGGTGGCTGGCTTCTTCGGACGTTTTTGACTGTACATCAGATTTAAGTTCTCCAACTTTGGCCGAAATTCTGGCAAAAGCAGACTGGAAATCGTTACACCCTCCTCTTGATAAGTAAAGATTTGGCTTATTTTAGATTCATCTTTTGCTTAAGGTATCCGACCTCGTTCGGGTACCATTTTTTTAAGAAATTTTTTTTATTTTAACTATAAACGTATTAATTTGAAGATAAGCATACTAATGAGTGAAAACAGCTTAAAAGTAATGCTAAGTAATTTTAATTTTGAAAAATAATGAAAAAAAGGGTAATTTTTGCTTAAATTTTATCATTACGGCAACAACCACGGTGAACAAACAATGTATACATAAATATACAGTTTTTTTTAATTTGTATTTATGTTTACACTGATTTTGTATGCAATGAAGCAAAATAATTAAGAAATATTCATATGTTTTTGAGATATGTCAAAATATATAGTATTAACTGCATATTTTCCTATTATTGCATCCAAAATCTAAGAATAAAAAGTAACAGTTCAACTTCTAATTAATATTTCTAAAATCTTCTGCTTCAGAGCATGCATCAGATTATATGAAACATGCATAGAAAGTATCATTTAGTTTTATTCATAAAATTGGGAGTTATGGTTGTTACCATTGGCAATATTTACTGAAAAACACATTTTTCAGAAAACAAGTTTAAAGTTTTCATGAAACAATTTCTTAGTGAAAAATGTATCCCTGATAATTAAAATCCCCTTCTTTTTAATTGACACCTTGTTTGTATTTTCGCAAACATTGCGCTTTTTCTTTCGAACAAAGCGTAATTTTTTTTCTTTGGATTTTTGTAAAACTTGCGGAATGGCGCCAAGAGTCATGATTTTGCACTTTATCAAGTTTTAGAATTCCCTGCACAGTGTAAATTTCAGAACACACAGCTAACCTTGAAAATGCTTCAAGCAAACCTATAAATCCATCATTAAATAACATTAAATGACAACACTTGTTATTTAATGTTATTTAATGATTGCTTAATTATTAATGTTCGCGAGGAACAATTTGCAATAAAATGCCATTAAAACGTTCTTTGATATTTTGAGTTTTGCCATGTATGCACTTTTTAATAACTCTTGTTTATGTAGTCAACTCCATGTATGTGTAGGTTTAATTAAACTAAAAATATATGTTGATATACCAGAGGGTTTTGGCTGATTTTTTTCTTTTCTGCAATCGCACATTGATAGTTGCACCAACTCGTTGATTGAGGAGGGCATTGGCTTCGAAGAAGAGCTACAATGGAACAAGCAGCTAGTACAGCCTGCTGCATCTCAATTAAGTTTCCAACATTTACTTCTAATTGCAATCCCTAATTCTGTAGTTTATCAATAAAAGAACCAATCAGTTTACCTTTCCCTTTCAATCCAGGAGTGGAGTTTTTTTTTCGTAGTCCACTACTAACCCTTTTCTGTACATGTCCAATGCATTGCAGTTTCTTAACCGAATCTTTACCATATATATTTTTCACAATTTAAAACCCCTTAGAATCTCCATCCTCATAATACTCCGTGTACTTCAGCTTTCGTAATTTAATAGATCATTCAAAAAGCGAATAAACACCAACTGCTTCCATACCCGAAGCTGCTTCTTTATAATTTGCAGAATAATTATGTTACGCTATATATATTATGAACTATATGTCGTGCTGAAGATTGCATTTCATTTTGTTTAGTTTGTTGCAAATGATGCAAAAATGTGACATAGCTTTCAAATCAAGACTGTCAACGCTAATCGACAAAGCAGTAACACATCCATTCTACGTCGAATACCCTCTGCGCCAAATTAAATACGAAAGTAAGGGAAAAAACTACCGCCACATTCTTAAAATGTATTACAAAATATCTAAACTTAGTACGATGGTTTTATAATTAACAAAATCTTGATGATAAATAAAGTTTCTAAATAAGTATGTCTATTTAAATGCTCACTTCCGGTCCAGAATATTGGAACTTCCGGTTGATTCCGTTACAGAAAAATGCTTATAACTTCAGTTCTAATTAACATATCAACAAGCAAAAACTTGTATTTGATAGCTAAAGATGTATTCTTCAAGATAATGTAATAAAGTAAAAATCGAAATTTTGTCCGAAAATCGTCTTTTGTACGAGGTCGGATACTTTAATGAATATGTATTAAAAGAGAACAAATTTTGAGCCGCTTTGTGAAAATTTATCTAACGTATGAGAAAAACTATTCATATTGATTTTAGAACCAAATTTCACAATTTCAATTTTTACGTTATTTTCTTCCTTCACGTTCGTACGGGGTTCGTAGATATGGAGTGAATAACGACGACACTTGATGAAGTATCGAAACGCTCTTTATTTACCAATATTTAATCAGATAGTTCCAAAATCACTTTTACAGTCGTTGACGAAATATTATAAACACGCCGACACGTTCAGCGACACAGCCTTCACACTGTCAGGCAATAACGGTGGAGACAGCTTCCCTGCAAAGCACCCGAGTACAGCTCCCAACTCTGCTCGGTCGTTCTCGGAACTCCACGTACGCTACAACTCGCGATGCACTCGACGATACATAAGAGTATAGCTCTCGACTCAGCACAGTCTAAGACAAAACTCGATGATGCACTAATTCGCGATGCACTAGAAGACTCTCTTGATGCCCTCGACGACCAACTTGGCGCTAGACTTCGAGAGACTCGCTCAACGACTATCAGCTCTCTAGACGAGGCACACACATTCGCCCTCTCAACGAGGCACACTAACTGATTGCGGACCAGCAGGGTTTATATAGCTTTCGGCTTGTGTTCGAGAACTTTCTGGGCTAAACTAGTAAGAATTCGTTCTAGAAGGTTCTCCATCCGTCCATGGCATATCGCCAATTTTGTCGCCAAATGGGCGATTTCTCGCCATATGTGGCAACCATGCCTTCCTTTGCTGTTTATGGCAACCCTAAAACTGCTTTGCAAGGAAGCTACCTCACCTCGCCTGACATTTCGCAACAATATTCATTTTAGAAACAAATTTCACAATTTCAATTTTCCTCTTATTGTGTGCGAAATTTCAAAAGTAATTCACAGTAAATATTTTGTAAGAGGACTCGTTATAAAATACATATAACCCGCAAAAGTTATTCCACATTGATGAGCTATGGGGCAGTGGGAAATTCGTTTTTTACCAAACATTTTAACAGCAAAATGATACGATTTTGGGAAGCGAGATTTTTCATTGGGTAGTTTTTCTTTTAATTTTTTCCTTTCTAACTGCAACTTATGTTAGAGCACATTGATTTTAAATTACATGAAGCTTCAGTGAGTCTTCAGAAACACATACGTTTATAGAAAACTGAAGTAAAGTAAGTTGTAGAGACGCTAGGTTATTTCGAAGCAGAAGACATGAAAAATGAGCAATGCCCTCGCCGGGACTGGAACCACGGACCTCTCAAACACGTGTCGAGTGTGCTGGCCGTAACACCACAAAAATATACTAAGAAAGCGGGAGAAATACCTTATAAACCCCCCTTTTAAAGAGCGACTGAGGATCAGGAGACTCAATCGCCAAAACCCGGCGGTGGAGAATCATCACCCACCACCTTTTAGTTTCGGGCGCCACTGTAGAGACATTAGGTATTTCTAAAAGCAGGAGAGATAAGAAATGAGCAATGCTCTTCCTCGGACTGGAACCACGGACCTCTCGAATACGCGCCGAGTATGCTGACCACTACACTACACTCCCGCTACGAAAGCGGGAGAAATATCTTATAAAGTAAATTAAAAGTAAGTGAATGAAAAAGTGAAGATAAGTAAAAATTATGAGTTCTCTATTTCCCATACTCTTATATATTAACCTAAATCAAACAATTATCCATTTTTATTCTAAGATCATTCAAAGTTTATTGATATTCATTATGCAAGCATAAAAAGTTGAAAGTATATTCGCATTTATATACATAAATATAAAAGTACTTTTTTTTTCTTTTCAAGGTTTAACAGTTGTGTTTGTCAAAATATAAACATAGAAAAGGACAAAAATTGGCGCCTCTAATTTTAACCCCCCTGCCCCCCCAAAAAAATCTCCATATTCACATTTATACCAAATCATTAAATGTTTTATGCGGAAATATCTAAAAATAAATAAATAAAGCTTTACTTTAAATATTTTTATATTAGCTTTTGTTAACATGTAACTTAGTGTGCGCTTTCCATCTAACATGATGCTGAGTTTCAAAACTAAAAAACTCCTAGTCGAAGTATAAGGTATTTCTCCCACTTCCCTAGCGTGCCTTCGGGGTGTAACGGTAGCACGCTGGGCCAGTATTCCAGAGGTCCGTGGTTCGATTCCGGAGAAGGCGGTTGCATATTTTTCATCTTTTCTACTTCCAATTAACCGATTGACTCTACAAGTGACGCCCGAACTAAAAGGGTTGTGGATTATGATTCTCCGCACCCGGGATCCCGTAAAACCCTAGTCGCCCTTTAAAAAGAGGAGTATATAAGGTATTTCTCCCACTTTTCCTAGTGTCCTTCGTGGTGTAGTGGTTCTGCACGCTGGGCCGGTATTCCAGAGGTCCGTGGTTCGATTCCCGGCGAAGGCGTTTGCTATTTTTCATCTTTTCTGCCTCAAAAAAAAAAAAAAAAAAAAAAAAAAAACCTAATGACTCTACAGAAGGAGGGGAAAACTTCGTAAATCCTCAAAGAATTTCTTCAAAAATTCGTAAAATTACCAATTCCTTAACAGATAGTATTCAAGCAGAAGTTGAACTTTTCACCTCTTTTTCATGGTTTTGAATCGCAATCAATCAGCTTTCCAACCGAGAAATTACACCTTATCTAAATGCGAACAGGATTCACTTACTACTGACTAATGAAACGCATCTTAAAAAAAAAAAAAAAAAAAAAAAAAAGTTAAAATTCGAAGTCATGATTCTAAAATTCTCAAAGTTAAAAGAAGTTAAAAGAAGACAGGGGTTAAAGAGTTAAAAGAAGGCACAATAGCGGCGGTTGTACTGCCCTAGTAGTCAAAACCCATGCAGAATTAAAACGCTTTCATCCGTTGGATTAAACCAAACAGCTACCAAGATTTTTTAGGGTAACAAAATCCTATTGTTTTTATTTCCGTGTACAGCTGTCCGTGAAATGCTATTAGCTTTTGATGATGATTCAAGCAAACTGCACTATTTTCAAATGCAAAGAAAATGGAATTTATTCTGTGAATATCGGTCGTCAAGCTTTCTCTTGATGTGTAAGTAAAAAACTGAAGAAAACTGAAGTAAAGTAAGTTGTAGAGACATTAGGTTATTTCGAAGCAGGAAACATGAAAAATGAGCAATGTCATCTCCGGAACTCAGACATGTGGAAATAAAGGTGCATTATATTACTCAATGTCCCTTAACAAAGTCAACTCATATTAAATTGCCTAATTCAAATATCAATGCCTTCCTCCGTTTTGCAATTACCAACAAACATTTAGAAAATACAATCAAATATCTATCTTCAATAGGCAAAAATTTATGATGATGTTATGTGAGCACTAATGTAATTAATGTCAAAATTCATTTTTGAAGCTGCAATTCATCTAAAATTTTTATTATCTAATTATCTTAAAAACAAACCTTGCAATAATAATGATATAGTAAAAAATGGAAAAAGAAGAGGAAGAAGATACAGATTCATATAATAAACTTTATCTCAAGGAACTATTATTGAACTGTTATAAATTATGACTGTTAGCCTACTATTATTATACCTATTGTAACTACTATAATTATATCTAATAGATACATCAATTAAAATATCGACATACTATTTATACTGTTATATTATGTTATATTATGTGTTATAAGTACTATTTTGAATATTACTTTAAAAATAAACCGAAGTGTAGTGGGACTATACCTACATTACTTATAGTAAACATTGGGTGTCCCACTACATTTCCACCTGAACCTGAACCTGTAATGTAAGTAAAGTAAAAATAAGTGAATAGAAAAGTGAAGATTATCAGTTCTCCACCAATTACCAGTAGTAATTAGTTCTTCTTCAATAACTTATACTTAAGGTACTTTACTTTTGCTTAAAAAACACAGAATTATCGTTACAGGTGTTTACACACAGGCACAGCATTATTATTACATGTGTCACTATTACAGTTATTGTTCTAATCCACGAATTTCAACATGCCGAAGATTCTATTTGAGACAGCTTTTGTTTTCGATATCCAATTCAAACACGAATCATAACTCAAAACAAGTCTTTAATGACTATTTATTTACGTACATCTGTTATATTACATTATTTATATAATTCAAGATTAATTTTAAATCAAAAGATGGGAATAATTTCTCCATTCGAATCAAATTCTATTAAGAGAAGCCGAGCCGCTCACTTCAAAGTTTATTTTGCTTCTCCCCGTTGCCACTGGCAGAAGCGAAACTTTCGCTCGTATAGCACTCCAGTTACAACACAGGTGTTAAAACACAAAATTATTATTACAGAGAAATTCTTCTTTTCTACTTGTTTTAGAAATACAACATTTTATTTTCAGTACTCTGAATTTTAGTCAGTAGATGCCGTTAGATAATAATCTTAATGGAAGTTAACAATCTGAAATGCATTGACGAAAAATGTAATTTTTCTTGCTTTCAACATCTCAGTTCTCTACAAATTTCATTTTATAGTTTCCATTGAAGTATTTAGAAACATAGCTCAGTATCCGGGAGAAAAAAAGAATCTGAAAAGACTTTCCTTTTATTATTATCATTATTTTAAAATAAAATTTATGGATCATTTCTTGCAACAGAGTGTCAAAACGAAAAACAAAACTTAATGCATGATCTAATTCAGAAGTCAAACAACAAAAATCAGCGTTATATTTTCAAAATTTCCACAGGATTAGTTTCGATGGTTTTACCGAACCACCATCCTCAGCTGCAAAACCGCAAATGAACAAGATAGGAAATAATGATTAGATAAGATAAGAAAGCCTGGACAAGAATAAGCAAGTGGCGCCATCTGTTGATGAAACCAGAATTAACACATAATTTCTTTAAAGGCCGAAGGCAAAGATGGATTGGAATTAGGATCGTTAACTAGAACAGAAAGATTTAATGATCCTAATTCCAATCCATCTTTGCCTTCGGCCTTTAAAGAAATTATGTTTTAGTTCTGGTTTCATCAACAGATGGCGCCACTTGCTTATTCTTACACAGGCTTTCTTATCTTATCTAATCATTATTTCCTATCTTGTTCATTTGCGATTTCGCAGCTGAGGATGGTTGTTCGGTAAAACCATCAAAACTAGTCCTGTGAAAAATTTTGAAAATATAACGCTGATTTTTGTTGTTTGGTTTCTGAATTAGTACTTGTTCGGCGTGTTATTGTGTCTGAATTAATGCATAATCGTTAAGACAGTTTGAAGAACTGTTTGCCTCCAACTACCATCATTCTACTTCAGACATCTGTAATCATTATAATATTTCAATTTTTGATTAAAATACCTTAAATAAAAATTGAAAATTATCTAACATTATATTGTGTCAATTATTTGTATTCATTTAGACTCAAACGTGCACTGAATTTTTACGTGCAAACTGGAATCCTACATGGAACTGTGACGGTTGATGGAGAAAAAGATGAACACGAGTTGTACTTATTTGGACAGAGAGTAAGATATTTAGGTAATAATTTAATTTCACTTTCATTGTCGTCTATTTTGTGCGGACATAAGCACAGTCAAAAATGCATCTGAAATAAATTCAATGATTTTAAAAACTTGCAATCCTGTATAAGCAGAAACTTATGTAATAAATCAAGCAGGAATTAAAATCTGAAAGGATTCAAATTCTAACGGCCGCCCAAAAGGGTTTGTTAAGGTTTTGTACGTTTCTCACTGAACTCGCACTTTACCAGTCTGCTGTTGCACTTTCTCCTACTAACCCACTTCTTCCCCCCCCTTTATTATTATTATTTATCATTAAGCATTATTTTCTTCCCACTTATGCCATATACAATTCAACAGCAAAATTTCAAAACATTTAAAAGCAACATAGAAGCATGTCTTAGAATTCCCGATGCAGTGTTAAGCATTGAAATACATTTTTTTTATATTTTTCAGTCTTTTTCAGTTCATCATATCAATACTCAGTTTTAGACTTTATTAGCCCAAAGTAGCGTTAGCCCAGAAGGGCTATTAGTCTGGAAACACCATTTTGCATCACTTTTTAAATTGTTGCTACCAAATATTATCGGTCTGTATTATATTTAAAGGCATTAAATAATATAGTTATGTATGTTTCTCGCATTGTGAGGGGGAGTTAAAAAAAACGACGAAACCTAGAGCTATTAGATTTTGAATACGATAATCTTCCACCAGAACGGATTAGTTTTATTATTTATTTCATATTTTGTAAAACCTTAATGAATATTTTGATTAAAAATAAAAATGAAAATTAATTTAATGAAAATGAAATCATGAAAATTAATGAAAATTTTGATTATTTATCTCCAGACTGTCTATCGGAAATTCTACTAAAGATATGCTGTTTTTAAATATGTGATATTGCTGTTGAACTGTGGTTTATGTGGTTTAAGTGCGAAGAACATGATATTTAATAAATAAAGGTAACACACAAAACGTTAAAAAAAAATCGTTTGGCCGCTAGCGAAAAGCTTTCAAATTTTTTCATTTTTATTTTGTGTGTGAAATTTATTAATTAAATATCATGTTCTTCGCACTTATCCCGCAAACAATTCAATTCAACAGAAAAATGACAAAATATTTAAAAACAGCATATTTTTAGAATTTCCGATTAGTCTCGCGCGCTGGAGATAAAAATTCTTTATTCCGCGCAGTGTCGCCACTGGTCGGCTTCAGATCGTTGTATTTGTTAATCAGAAATTCATTAAAGTTTTACAAAATCTGAAATCTGAAAGTCAAAATTCGGGGATCGAGGTGCACATGTTCGGATAGAGGAGTACGTTATTCAAAACTGGATGGCTCTAGGTACTGTTTTTCTTTCACAATTTGAGGAAAATACATACAAACATGCATAATCTTCATTATTAGCCCAAAAGGGCTGTTAGTCTCAAAAGAGAATTTTGAGTCGAATCTTTAAATGTCCGAATCTCTTTTCAAATTGTTGCCACCGAATACTATCGCTCTGCATTACATTAAAAAATAATAAAGAAAAATTTGCATGAATGTATGTATGTTTCTCGCATTTTAAAAAAATCTGATGTGTACACCACATGACTTCCTTGTACGGAATATTAAATTATACGCATTTTGTCTTGCATTTTATTTAAACTTATTAGATTGAATTAAACCTACTTCGCCGACAGCGCATAAACCACAATAGAATAAATGCATTCTTTAAAATTCACTTTGTTTACCATTAGCGACACTCTGGCGCTTAACACTATTATATTTCATTCATATTATAACTCAGAATGCACAAAATGTATATCATTTAAAGAATTATCTAATCGTTGCCACATGTTCTATTCAAATACTATAATAAAGCTAGAACGATGTATAAAAGAAATTAAGCAAACAAAAGAAAAAGGAAACAGTTTTTCACAGACGAATGAGTAATTCTCATTTAATTAATTCAATTCCACTTCGCGAGAAGGCAAAAATACATAAAAACTCAAAATATCTGCATTAAAAATTACGAAGTAAATCTCAAACGCTTATTTCCTCGAAAACATTCCAGAAAGAATTAACCATGATTTAATTGGCAATAATAAATGAATGCATTATCTTTGTTGTTGCGAAGCTAAGTTTCTCTAGATTGGCAACAAATCCACTAGTCTCCTGTTTCAAATGTCAACATCAATGGCCGCCATTAAAAACAGGCTTAGCGGCAATTAAACAACTTTAAAATTGCTGATAATTCTAAAAATATTGCACACAGATTTACTAAATGCATAAAATCCTTAACCGGAAGATGAAAACAACATAATTCAATCATTTTTAAAGCAAAACATGTACAATTTACAAACATATAAGAGTAAAGAAACTGAGATCACTGAGCCGGGTAATAGAGTGGATATCTATATAAATATATTTATATACGTTTGGTGCGGCCGATTGCAACCGAAATACGAGGTGCACATCTAAATGTATAGCAGTCCTATATACAAAATTTCAACGTTCTGAGGCTACTCGTTTTTGAGTTATGCGAGATACGTACGTACGCACGTACGTACATACGTTCGTACAGACGCCACGAAAAATTCTGTTCAGAATTCATTTTAAAGCAGTTTTATAATTTTTTTGAAGGAAAAGAGTATTTTATTCTGTCTTTACGTACAGATATCAAGCAAAAACATCGTTAAATTGGATTCGATAGCGGTCAAAGTGGATATTTTCGTTGAAATATGCTGCCTGAAACTTTTCGCGATTACAATACTTCCTTTATACTTCGTACAAGGAAGTAAAAACAACGGTACCTAGAGTCATCACATTCTTAATAACAGAGTCCTCCACCCGAACATGGACCCCTGGAAGCTCGGATTTGGAACTTCGAATTTGTTTCATAGTCTATTTCATATTTTGTAAAAATTTAACGAATTTTTGAGTCAACTACTCAGCAATATCAAAGCAAGCCGTGCCAATACTGTAGGGAATAAAGCAATCTATCTCTGACGAGGGAGACTTTCTACCGGAAATATTACTATCATTAATAACTATGTATTTTGAAGATAGTTGAATAGAAACCATAGCATTTAAGATGATGATTTGTTAACTAAGTGCTTAAAAGTAATAGGGTAGTACTCGATCAGGAACTATTAACCTCATCAGGTATGAAGCAAATTATCGCTGTGTCTAAAAAATTTACAAAGTTAATTAATGGTTTTTAGTCCATGGCTTGGAATGTTTTTTCAATGGTTAAACCTTTTTTACTATCAGAAATGAGAATGTCAGTGCACGTTCTTGTGCTAACAAAATCAACCACAATTCGTGGGGATGCAACTAAAGGAATAGTAAATTTCAGTTTTAAACGCAAGCTAATTAAGGGCTACATGATTAAAATTTAGTCTAAGCTGGTTAAATAACTCTAACCGACACATCAAATTCTTATGTCGGCAGTGATGACGCGATGTCGACTAATTACAAACTTATCGGAGCTGGCAGGTCTAACTCTAACGTGACCGTGAAAGGCAGAAATAGATGTCTTACAATTTAAACACTTTAGCTTAAATATTACCTAACTGAATTTACATTCTGGTGAGCAAACGGAAAGAAGAAGTTATAGTAAAGGCTGAAATGATAAATAACTGGTGAGTTTCAAATAATAATAACCTTATAAAATTCGTTAATTTTTTTCCACGTTGTTGCAGCGGTCTATAAAAAAGTGAAAGGAGTACACACTCTTAAGCACTTTAAAGCTGTTAAAAAAGTATTGAAACTTTTTACCGGTATTAACCATCCAAGTATTTAAATAACTGAAAACGCATTTGAGAGAACGGAAGAGTAATAGATGTTATGCAGAAAAGAAGTAAATCAAAATGCTTCATATGTAAGATCAAATGTTGTTAAAACATGTCAGTGGTTTCAAAACTAACTAAACTAAGTCACTTCGAACAATTTATTAAGCGTAAATTGTGGCTTACATTCACGTATATTGAACTCCCCACATATTTGTACATACATTATTTGTTAGGCTGGTACACAGATAACAAGTTTGTAATAAAATAAGGCTGTATCTTCAAATTTGCGTTTCTTTAAAAACAAAACTTTTGTACTTAAATTATGTGAGACAATTTATAACGTTTCGTATTCTTTGGAAACATAAAATTCACGAAACGTCTGAAGACTTTACATGAATTATCAAGACTTTACATGAATTATCACTATGTCTTGTAAGAAACTGAGAAAGGTTGTAAAGAACTCTTTATTTAACTCAAACAAAAATTAACAGAAGGCACTATTCGTGCTTACAAAATACAGGCAGCAGTTATGGCTTAAATCAAAGATATTGAATTGGCTTAACTAAGTAAAGTAAGTTAGACTAACGGCTACACAATTAAAGTAATGCACAGGTTGGCTCTGACCTAAAGGTCGGCACGACAAGCCTAATGTCTAGAATAACGCAACTCCGCAGCAGGCAGAACACGCTCTAATTCCACCCTCTAAAACCTTCCTTTAAATAGTCTTTTTTCTACCTCATTTGAATATCATGCGAGCTAGAAACGTCTATTCTGGCATGAAAAAATTATAAACGAGTAGACTAGCAAGCTAATTAACATAAAATAACTGGCTAAAGTTTATTAACCAGTTATTTTCTGTTAATTAGCTAAGCTCTTAAACTGTCTAATAATATCCAAATATCAGCATTAGTAGATAAAAGTTCATTAAAAATACGGTCAAGCTAAAAGTTTCATTAAAAATACGGTCAAAAGAGTCTAAAAAAAATCTCTAAAATGAACTAAAATGTTATATATAATGTCAAAATGTATAAATATCATGTATGTAAAAATGTACAACATAAAAAAGTATAATAAATGTGCAACGTAAAAAATATATAACTGTTATGTACGTAAAATATAATGTTAATTGTATGTTAAATATAGTATGTTATAATGTAATATATTATGTTAAAATGTTTTAAGACGTCCAGACCGTAAATAAATTGCGATATGTTGAAAAAAAGACAAAAAGAAATAATGAATAACTATATATAAAAAACTGAAAGCTTTCAGATTTTATATTACTCCCAAAGAGGCGTTTTTGTGTGTTACCTTTACTTTTTAAATATCATGTTCTTCGCACTTAAACCATAAAATTCAATTTAACAGCAATATCCCAAAATATTCAAACGAGTTTATCTTTAGAATTTCCGATACAAAGTCTCGCGTGCTGGAGATAAAAATATCTTTTTTTAATTCCTTGTACGAAGTAAAAAGGAAGTATTGTAATCGCGAAAAGTTTCAGGCAGCATATTTCAACGAAAATATCCATTTTGACCACTATCGAATGCAATTTAAACGATGTTTTTGCGTGATATCTGTACGTAAGTACAGAATGAAATAATCTTTTCCTTCAAAAAAATTATAAAAGAGCTTTAAAATTAATTCTGAAGAGAATTTTTCGTGGCGTCTGTACGAACGTATGTACGTACCTGCGTACGTACATATCTCGCATAACTCAAAAACGAGTAGCCTCAGAACGTTGAAATTTTGTATATAGGACTGCTATAACATGTAGATGTGCGCCTCGTATTTTGGTAGCAATCGGCCGCACCAAACGTATATAAATATATTTACATATATATCCACTCTGTTACCCGGCTCAGTGATCTCAGTTTCTTTACTCTTATATGTGTGTAAATTTTGCTTTAAAAATGATTGAATTATGTTGTTTTTATCTTCCGGTTAAGGATTTTATGCCTTTAGTAAATCTGTGTGCAAATATATTTAGAATTATCAGAAATTATAAAGTTGTTTAATTGCCGCTAAGCCTGTTTTTAATGGCTGCCATTGATGTTTACATTTGAAAGAGGAGACTAGTGGATTCGTTGCCAATCTAGAGAAACTTAGCTTCGCAACAAAGATAACGCATTCATTTATTATTGCGAATTAAATCATGCTTAATTCTTTCTGGGATTTTTTCGAGGAAATAAGTGTTTGAGATTTACTTTAATTTTTAATATAGATATTTTGAGTTTTTATGTATTTTTCCCTTCTTGCGAAATGAGAACTGAATTAATTAAATGAGAAATACTCAATCCTCTGTGAAAAACTGTTTCTTTTTTGTTTTGTTTACTTAATTTCTTTTATACATCATTCTAGCTTTATTATAGTATTTGAATAGAACATGTGGCAACGATTAGATGATTCTATTCTTTTAATGATATAAATTTTGTGCATTATGAGTTATAATATGAACGAAATATATACGTTAACTGTTATATAATTATTGGATTATATAACAGTTTTTTAACTTATTTATATAATTATTATATAAGTTAAGTGTATATAATTATTAATACTGTTAAGTGAATCTAGCGCCAGAGTGTCGCTATGGTAAACAAATACTAGAGTGAATTTTAAAGAATGCATTTATCCTATTGTGGTTTATGCGCTGTCGGCGAAGTAGATTTAATTCAATCCAATAAGTTTAAATGAAATGCAAGAAAAAATGCGTATAATTTAATATTCCAATACAAGGAAGTCATGTGGTGTATACATCAAATTTTTTTTTACAGTGTTGCCATTGCTCGCTTTGACATCGTAGAGTTTGTTAATCAAAACTTCTTTAATGTTTGACAAAATATGGAATAGATAATAACAGAAGTTCCAAATTTGGGCTTCCAGATGGCGATATTCGAATGGAGGACTGCGTTATTCAAAATTTGATGTCTGTATGTACCGTTGTTTCTTCATAGGGCAAGAAACATACATACATTCATGCAGATTCTTCATTATTTAATTTCTTTATATTTAATGCAGGGTTTTAAAATTGTTGGCAACAATTTGAAAAGTGGACCGACGCAAAACGCCAAAACGAAATTAATAGCCTTTCTGGGCAAATTACAGCTTTGTGCTAATAAAAAAATATTTATGGAAAATACTTTAAAGGCAGAGTAAAAGATCTTAATTTTAAAAACTAATTTCATAACTGTAAGGTTAAAAAACGCTCAAGAAGAAAATAGTAACCGACAAACTGGCTCTTAAAAATAGAGTATAGGTGAATAATAAATATTAATAATTAGAATAATTATACTTTTAGACAATCTTTAAGAAAATCGATGTGGAAATGTAAACCATTTGCTGAAGTAATAGTCCAGGTCACCCACATAAATATAAAATTAAGTAATATACAATTGATAAATATGACTTTTTGTTAATTTCTGTAGTTGTCTGTAAATTCTGAAAACCATAAGGACGTATAAAAATTACATGAATAAAGTTTCAAAATGAAAATTAAAAAAAAGTTATCTCATACCAATATGCCGTTTTTTATTTATTTCAGGTGAAACTACCAGTTTTAAAGATGTACAAGTTGATCACATGCTGGGACATGTTCACCAAGTATTAATAATATTTTTTTAAATTATTATTTCATAATATTATTGCTAAAGCAATGTTTATGTTGTTAAATTATTTCATAACATTATTGTTAAAGCAACATGTATTAAGCCATATTTAAAAAATAAAACATAGTCGTAATAAATTATTAAGATTCTCTTAAAATTCTTTTCGTATTTCCAGAACGGATCGTATATTTATCTGGCGAAAGCCTCAATCGCTGAAGTTGCAAATGAGTGAGTATATATATTTTTTAGTGAGTATGCATAGCTATGAAGTCTTTCAAATTGATTCATACACTCATCGGGTGTTAATTACAACAGAATAAGAAACGTATCTATATGGGATGTACCAGCTTTTGTCCGGAATAAATAGGTTGGTGAAGAATCATAAATGTAGTCGTAGCTTAAATTATCAGACGATAAGTTTAAAAACAAGATCCATTTATTATACTTCAGGGGAAATAGCAATTACAAAAATCTGATCTCCGGAGTAAATAAAAAAGAATTACTAATAACTTTTTGTATGAAGTTTACTGCATCGTGACATTTAAGAAAAAGCCCCGATATTCGTTTTGCGAGTTTTTTTATAGCCTCTGGAAAGGCGGAGCTTCCAAGAAATGACGTCAGCCAATCCAGTTCGCTTTAAATATTTCCAGAACATTCTATAACTGTACGTGTAGAAAAGGCGGGAAAAACTTGACTACGGGGCTGTGGAATTAATTCCACGTATTTTCAAATAAGAGACCGTCGCCATTAAAAATGAAAAGAACAGACAGTTAGAATTTTAAGTGTATTCTTGACTATGGAATTTTATTATTACATATATATACCGGGTGATTGTAATTAAACTTCCCCTATAAACACCATCCTACAGCGCAAACGGGTAAACAGAATGCAACGAAGTTTTGTATGTGGGTTATATAGAAAACGATGTACAGGAAATGAGAGTCAATATTCAAGTTTTTGAGTTTATAATATCAATTCTGTACTTTGTCCAAGAATTTTGAATACCATGCTTTGGTTTCTTTTACTTTATTATGACACTCAATGCTTATCTACCTCACGGGAGAACGTGTTTGTGGAGAACTTTCTAAGGGAAACTGTCTTGTATCCACGATACACATGAGAAAAACTACGGAAACACCCATGCAGCCAACCCGCTCGGTCAAAATACCAGTGATCAACGACTTTTTTTTAATTTTGCTCACCCCTCCTTTAAATGCTATGCGAACCGCGAAACAAAACACATAACAGGGTTACTTAAAGAATATATATTATCTTTATTGTTAGTTAAAATACCTAAAATTTATGAAAGAGATTTATTTTCGTGAGTAAACAAATAATTAAATAATAAATTTATTTTCATGTTTGGCATAGAATGCATACAGTATTGATGGATTTTCAATGCTTTCATATAATTTGCATTCCTGGCGATGTGAGATGGATTGCTATTAGAATGTTCTTTATCCATTATATTGTTACGGATTTGGTATTTACACTCATGTCCATAAATTAAGGATAATGCAAAATCAGGCAAAGGAAGAGTTAGAAGCAAAACAAATTTGACTTATTTGTAAAGCTTATTTATTAAACAAAAGGTAAGAGAAAAAAAAAGATGCTATATGTTTGATATTATTAAAAAAATAGCGATTTTTCTCCCTGGAGCAAATTACAAAAAACACCTATTTACAAAAAACCAATATTACATGGTTGGTATGATTGTTAATACATTGTATGTCTCCCAGACGATGCAATACAGTCCGTACAACACCTAGGCATGCTGAGTATCAAATTATCGATCTGATCTTGGGGGATATTATACCACTCAAAAAGCAATGCTCTCCGAAGTTCCGGTAGACATGTAGGAGGAGGTTGACGGCTTGCAACTCGTCGGCCAAGTATGTCCCACACGTGCTCTACTGGATTCAAGTCCGGTGAGAATGCTGGCCAGTCCATACGGGTGATATCCTCCGATTGAAGGCATTCGCTTACGATGTTTGCACGGTGAGGACGGGCGTTGTCATCCATAAACACAAATTGTGCGCCCATGGCGCCCCGAAACAAACGTACATGTTGTTCCAGAATGACGTTCCCGATAGATTTGGCTTGTCATGGTTCCAATTTGAACATGCAGGTCAGTTCTGGAACCCAGAATAATTCCACCCCAAACGAGCACTCCTGCACCACCGTAACGGTGTCGTTCAATGATGTTTTTCTTGGTGGTAACGGGTACCTGGAGCTCTCCATATGAAAGTCCGGCGAGAATCAGACTGCAAGCTAAACCTGGACTCGTCGGAAAACATCACACAAGCCCACTGTTGCGGTGTCCACAATGCATGCTCTCTACTCCAGGCTAACCGCAGGCGACAGTGAGTTGCAGTAAGTGGAACGCATCTGACAGGTCTACGAGCATATAGACCAATCTGCCCTAAGCGTCTGTACACGGTCTGCCTTGAAATTGTCGTACCAGTGGCTGAAGAGAGCTGACGAGACAGGTCTGAGGCTGTGCTCCGCTTGTTTCTTTTGGCAGTAACTGCCAAATACCGGTCCTCATTCGGCGTTGTAACTGTGGGGCGACCTGTGCTGTAACATCTACTCACATTACCATCATCTTGGAATCGTTGCCAAAGCCTGGAGATGACACTCTGGGCAATTCCAAGTTCGTCTGATACTTCCAGTTGGGTATGTCCACATTCCAGACGGCCGATAATTCTACCACGTAAAAAATCATCCAAATGCGTCCTTTGTGTCATAACTATTCGGTTATTGCACTTAAATGCTTATAAAGCGCCTGCGAACAATTTTACTTCTTTGTCTGTATTACTTATATATCACTCTCTTACATTCCCGTCATTGTGACGTATCATCGGTGTCATCTGGTTACTTCCTGAAGTTTGCGTATGATTTTTGAAGATATCTGTAGTGATTTTACAGGTGATATATTTATTTTAGAGTTCGATTTCCGCGTGACTCCGAATTATCCTTAATTTATGGACATGAGTGTAAATAGCTAATGTTAGCAGAATTATAAATTAAATTGTTTTATTCCCCGTGCAGTGCAGCGCGTGACGAATATTAAGAGAAAGCTAAGCCGGAAAATTAGAAATACAAGAGCACATGCATTTAACACTTAATACATAAATACCTCATTTTTATTTCGAAAAATTGCTTGAACAGTCTCGTGCGTGATTTAAAAAGCTTATAAAAAGGAGGAAAACCTCTCAGTTAAGTTAACTTTATGCAGTGCCTATCTGGGTCACTGTGTACAAGACTTATAGACACAAACTACAGGTCTTTCAGAACAAAATACTCAGACAAATTGTTGACTCCCCATGGTTCGTACGTAACCTGCAGATACATAAAGAACTAAAAATAAGACCCATAGCTGATCAAATCTCACCACGAGCCACAACTTCTATGCTGAAAAAGAACTTTCTCAGTACGAACATATCCGTGATCCTGATAAATTATGATCCCTACTAATAGAAAATTGCAGCAAAGCGCCCAAGAGGCATCTTCCATAACAGCAAATGGTGAAAATGTGTATATATTGTACATAGTACTATTATCTTTATTTTAATCTTCATTAGTGTCATTTTTACAAGTGTCTTTGAAACTTTATAGACTTTATGGACATGATCCGTGTATCTGGGTCTTCAAAGCACTGAATCTTATATTGGTCATATTTTATTTATCACTTTCAATCTTCTTATTGTTATACCAGAGACTTTGTAATATTGTGGACTTATGGACATGATCCGTGTACCTGGATCTTCAAAGCTCTGATTATTTATTGCTAGTGTAAAATGTTTTTCACCATTTGCTACTTCCCTCAAATACCGCCGTCCCTTTTGTCTACATTTAGATCGCGATATTAGTTTAATTATTCCAATCTGGACAACCTGTTTCAAAACTTGATAATTATTAATATATACAATATTTCTCATTGCACGCGTAAGCTGCTTTGCTCGGAGTCTGAAGTTGGGTGGGTGACCACCCACGTGACAGGCTCCTGGCAATCATCTCCCTCCACTCCACCTACATTTCACAAAATTTGACAAGCTTCGCCTAGTTGGCGCGGCGTAAATCGCCTTAATTAAAAACTTAAGTACCAACGCCTTAGGGCAATTTACCAACAGAGACGGTTAAAGAAGCGGTTGGCTACTAATTGCCGCCTAGCCGTTGATTCGATTTCGATTTCAGTTAAGTTAGTTGTTTTATGAGTTTTGTTTAGAAAACTGCTGTTGTTAACTGAAGTGAATTCGCGGTGAATGCGGACTAGCTTTCTCCATTTTGAATTAGTTCTCTCGAACGTTTTAAGCAGTTTAAAAGATAGCCACTCTGAGATATTGGGATATTGTACGAATACCTGAGGAAATTAACGAATTTTGTTTTATTTGTTGCGACAATAATAAGTTTTATTAATTTTTCATCCGACTTGCGCAATCAATTCATAACGAACCCGTACGTACGCAACAATATCTTGCATAAAATGGAAGTTTACCTCATGCGCAAGAAGATTAGTATTTGATAACCACTATCCTTTTACTTGGATTAAAACGCATAACTATAAAACGTAAGCATATAACCGAAATTTGTGGCATGTAAATAAATCTTTAAGTGCATAAATAACTCAATTTGCATTCATTTTTTCTTCACATAACATACCTAAGTACCTACCTGAGTACTTAATTGTTCTACTTGCTCGTAAGAAGCTTCATTATTGCAAAAGGAGAAACTATTTGGAAAATGCCATGCTTATGGTTTCGTAAAGATGGAACTATGCCTCAAATTTATGCATAATTTGTATTCTAATAATATGGAAAAGCCTATAAAATCGAATTTTAATATTAAGCCTGAAAATTAGCAAGCTTTGCACTCTTTCTTTCTATTCTTACTTTGAAGGCCCACCAGCGGCCGAGCGGTAAAGTCGCTAAACACTGGTAGTTCGGTCCGAAGTTCGAATCCCGCAAACGGGCTGGCTGCATGGGCGTTTTCGTGGTTTTCTCCATGTATAACGTGTATACGAGCCAGTTTGCCTTAGAAAGTCCTCCACGAAGGCGGCATCCCTCCTCTTAGGCAGATAGCCCTAGTGTGCTTTGCCATAATTAAATAAAGCAAAACCAAACCATCTTAGTTTGAAATTTAGATATATTTTTATGAATTTTGTGCGTATGCAAATAATTTTAGTGAAATTATATATAAAACTGCAGTATTTTGTTTTTTGTATGACGTAATATAGAAATCTACAGAAGCGAAGCTTTGTCGGAAAAGTAAGAATACAAGTTTATTTAACTTTGAATAAATGCTTATCTTGCTAAATTGGCGATGGTTTTGGCGAGTCATTTTTGTCTCCAGATTTGGGGTAGAAACCGCCAAAAGTCGCCAACCTTGGTGATCGTTGGCGACATTTTCGTCCGTCCCTGTATGACTAACTGATACTATGAATAATCACTATATGTAACTGTAACCAACTGTAGCTGTGATTAATCCTTATATGTAACTATAACCATATCCGGCCCTTAGATGTAAGTCTAAGCGTATATCCCTTCCAGTAATTTCGAGAAATGGAAGGTACTGGAGATTTCTCGGCGGCTGGGTGAAAACTATATATAAGACCGGTTTGGTTTATTAGATTATGGCAAAGCACTCGAGGGTTATCTGCCTTAAGGGAGGGATGCTTTCGTGGAGGACTTTTTAAGGGAAACTGGCTCGTATACACGTTACACATGGGGGAAACCACGAAAACGCCCATGCAGCCAGCTCGTTCGCGGAATTCGAACCTCGGACCGAACTACCAGTGTTCAGCGACGTTACCGCTCGGCCATATATAAGACAGAAGAGAGTATCTGCTTTCAGCTGTTAGTTGAGAGCTGAAGTATCCGTGAGCTTTGCATCACGTTGTGTTTAACATTCTTAGTAATTTTAAGTGTAACTACAGATTGTGTTCTTTTGAAAAGAGCTTTACGAGTACTTTTGTGGAAGGTTCCAGAACCTGATAAAGCAAATTTTATTAAGCTATCAGCAGTTCCATGTGCATTCAATCCAGTACGAACACGAGATATATTTTTCTAGAGAGATTTTTTGGAATAATATATTTTTTCATGGTCTTAGATCCGTGCACTTAATTTACATATGCTCTTAGAATTTTAATGATATTGTAAATTAGTTCTCAGCAATAAAATTTAATTTTTATTTTTGCAATTAAATTTCTTAATTAAATTTTATATTAGCTTTTTAGGAATAGAAAATATTTGTTAAGCTCAAATTTTTCTAGAGAGATATATTCCGAGATATATTTTTTTAATATAGAAAATATAATATTCTATAATAAATAACTCAAATGACTTGTATGCTTTAAGAACTTTTCAAATGTCTCTTGGTAATTTTACGCTGATATATAATTTTGAGTATTGATTTACAGAATATTTTCTTGTCTTAGTTGCTGTTTTGGTTTCATTGTGCAACCGGACTGCTATCTCAGATCAACCAGAAAAGCTGCCATAGAGATTATAGACTCAAAGGATGTTAATTCTGTAAAAGCAACATTTCAGTCTGGTATATATACTTAAACTCTTTAATTTTTCCATGGAAAATATTGGGTGCTTTTCCGTTTTGCCGGCGCAAGCGATAAAGTCGCTAATAATGGTGCAACCGATGCCAAACGGAATATTCTCGCTGGTAACCTTTTACGCCTCATTTTCAAAACAAGTCGCAGCTTTTTCTTATCAGATTGATTGTTTCTTTCAATACTGACATATAATTACATAGAATTTTATCAGATAGTTCAGTTTTATGTCCAAGGCCATTTTCGGTAATTAAGTCAATTAGGATGCAATCACAGCGCTTACCCGAAGTCGAAAATATAGAAAAGGTAAAGTCAAGAGTTAAATTCATCATTTCTAATGAGAATGCATTAGCGAAGTAAAGCACTGCAGTTTTACATAATTTCTGAGTAAGCTATTCGTACGAATTGAAATATTTCTTGCATTTAAACTTGTGTTCCAAATTAAGATTTAACTTGAAATTAATGTAGATAATTACTGAGAGCATTAGATTTTTGTAGAGAGTAGTTTACGTGAGATGAGATCGCTTGGGGTCACGTGATATGAACCGGCGAATCAGGATGCTGAACCATGAAAGCTTAGTAAATTCTTAAATTAATGTCTTTTTACAAATTTATTGTCTTTATTTATCGGTTTTTTATAAAATTTTAAGCGATATTAAAATGTTTATGCCTTCAGAAAAATAATTCTTAGAACTAACATTTTTTTTAAATATTTTTTATGTGTATACTGTATGTTGTCGCCAATAAAGTCTGCTTGGCGAGATTTGTGTCGGCGAAACGGAAAAGTACCAAATATTGTAATGCATTGTTTTGATCGGTATTCTTCATCATCGCAAATGAATACACTTTCAGTTATAGCTGCATTTATGCATTGATGGTTGAGTATTTTATATGTGTCACAAAGACGTTTTGGTACTATTCCGTTTTGAGGACCGTAAAAAATTGCAGCAAAAATGTATATGCAAAAGCGCCAAATCTAGCAAACGCGTCCATTTAACAGCGCGCCAAATCTAGCGTACGCGCTGATTTCAGATTGCGTAAGTTTATATATAGTTCTATATTTCTTAAGACGCCAATGAAATACTAGTTTAATTTTTAAATCCTTTTTTAATATCCTATGGATTCAACAATTTGGGAATTGCCCATGACGAAAAGTCGGCAATAGAATTTTGGGTAAAGTGCAGAATCACCCACTGCTTGGCGCGTTTTTAAGAATTGCACTTACTCCGTATCCATGTGCATATCGACCTATTTTCACTTTAAAAAAAAAAAAAAAATCTCAGAATTGCACAAAAATGGCACTGCGCACACCCTTGGCTTTATCTATGTACACATCGACCTATTTTCACTTGAAAAGTAAAAGAAAATTGACAAAAATCTAATTTTTTTACCCTTGTAAAAAGCGGAAACAAATACGTGGGCGATTCTGCACTTTACCGAGAATTTGTTTCAAAGAGAAGGCATCATTCATTATAGAAAATTATGCTTGAACAACCAACGACATGAAATTATGCTTTAGCGATAACTCGGTAGCGAAATAGCGATGCAGGCATCCATTCGGTTATGTTTAGCAATTTTTATATAAATTATAATAATGATCTTAAATAGTTATTGACTCGTGTGCTTCCATTCAGTCATGTTTAGCCTTTTTCATATAAATTATAATAATAAAAAGTATTATATGAAATTAACCTTTCATCTAAATTAAAGCATCAATCTTTTAGATAGTTATTTACTATTATACTTCCTTTCTTGCGTTAGGGTTGCCGCAATTATTTTTGGCAGCACTGGCATCAACAATAGTTTGGCGATTTTTTACGGCCCTCGAAACCGAATAGTACCGACGTTTTTTATGCATATTTATTCTCCGACACATTTCATGATATTTTTACAAGGCTGAACATTTCAGTATTTTTATGTGTTGTAGTGTTCTTCCCTTTTATTCTACTAAACTGAGTGTTAAGGAACCCAGTAAACAGCTAAGCGAATAATCGCTTAAGTCCAAGAACAGAGATGTAAACTCGAGAAGGGTTAATTAACTTTTATTGTCCAAAATACAGATTCATAGATGGTCCCAATCTCAGGGCGTACAACAAAGCCCCCATTTGTGCTTAACTTAAACGCTGGCCCGTAATATTAAACTAGCCAGCAAAACTATCAAAAGGCACATAACACGGCTAAGTGTGGTAACAGTTAGAGAGACTTAGCCAAAAGGCAAACGCGTGCTATTCAGGAATCCTAACTCTTTCTCCCGAAATCAGTGAAACTTAAATACTTTCTACTACTCATTTGCATTTAATGCGATTAATGCCATTCTAAAAACTCATTCTGGTAAGGCATTGTAAGCTGAAGCTCAAAGAGATAGGAAAGGTGCATAAACTTAAAATAACAGTTATAAAATTAGGATATACCATACAGTGTCACAATACAAACAAACTTTTAACGCGACTGTTCTGTGATTTCTCCCACCAGTGTTCCTAATTTTGATAATGGTGAAGATCATTAATTCCATATTCTTGTTTGAATTTCCTTTATATGAAAAGAAATTTAAATGGCTACCTTTGAAGCAAACAATACAAAAAGAAAATAATTATTATGTGTATTTCAAATTACAAACAGTTAAAATTTTTTTTCACATACCACTTCACTTTAATTTCCTTCAAGCAAACATACATCTCTTAATTGGCTCAGTTACTTAACTCCCTAAATAATTGATATTACTACCTTTAGGATTTTTAATTTAATTTAATTTAATTAATATTAATATTTACAAAAAATTTTTTACTGTAACAAAGATAGCAGCTTGACACTCAACTTTACCTACATAAGCGCCATCTATATAAATTGAAGAACACACTTACTTCTCTTTCACAACACTTTTGCAGACCCCAACACTCATATAGTAGGTAAGTTAGAATTAAAACTTACTATTCACTTGCTTTAAGAATTTTTTTAAAAAAAATTTTATGTAGAATCTAAGTATTTTCTAAATATGAAATTATATTTTTAAATATATATTTATTTAAAAAATTGTGAATTAGTTCTTTTTGTTTCTTTTTACTTCTTATTGGTTTATATGGATTATGTATAGTTCTTTTAGTTTCTTTTGATTGATATGCATATTCGCGTAGGGGAAGTTTCTGTAGACGAGGATTTCTAAAATACATTGGTTTCTAGATTTTTTTTATTATTTTATAAAAATTAATTTTTAAAAAATTTAATTTTTTAAGAAAAAGTTTAATTCTTGACTTTACTTGCTTGTTTCTCAAAAGACTTAATTAGTATTTTCCTTTTTGAACTTTAATTCCTAAATGTTAATACTTAAATGTTAATTTCTAAAGGTACCACTTTATTGAAATTACTTTTGGTTTTGACTTTTACCCTTGCCTGCATGAATGACGAAACACGAATTGAATGATTGGAGAGCTAGGTTTGGAGGCAACTTCCCCTTGATAAGTCTGTCTCCTACCTACTCTACGATCATTCACATGAGCATTTTTTTAAAAAATTGTTTAATTTAATTTTAATTTATTAAATTAGTAGATTTATTTTCATGGATAGATTTTGCACTTGATTTGCTTATGCTTCTGAATTTAAATGATATTGTAGATTAATTCGAGAATTAAATCTTTTACATGTTTGCATATTTTTAAATTATTTTAAGTTATTTTGGCTTTTTTCCTTTTCTTAGAATTTAAATTTGCTTTTTTACTTTTATACGTATTTGTTAAGAATTTAAATTTGTTTAAATTTAAATTTCATACCTTGCAGCAATGGCGCAAAGAATATTTAATTAAATATGTATTTAAATTTAATTTTTTTAATTAAACTCAATTTATTCTTATGAAACTTTCTTATTCTAAGATGTATTGATTTTAAACCGCACTGTAGCAGCATCATACTGATGTGAACTAACATCATTCGTATAGTATAATACAAAGAACATTTTTACAGGTGTTTCTTACAAACTTAGTGGATCATTCTCCAGTCCATTACTTCAGTCCATCACGAAAAGAAGAGAAGAGGTCACATCCTTCAGAAAATTTGATTTTTATATAAATGGTAAAAAAGGAACTGGAGTTCATGTTGGAAGGTTTGTAAAAACCATTAATAACTACATTTGACATTTTATTTGCTACGAATTGAGCAGAATTTCATTTGATACAGTGTCATATTTCTAAAAGGGTTTAAATTTATTTAATTATTTGAAATAATATGAAGGATAACTTGAAAAGCTAGAAACATCTATAGGAGCAGTTTAATATTCAATCTTTCTAAAAACCAAATTAATGCTGCTTATTAAAATGTCAAGTTTTTGTACTACAAATTTTCGATTTAAATCGAATATTATTTTACCTATAGTGTAATATGCTAAGTTCTGCATGAAAAATATTTGATAGTTATAGCGCAAACTGAAACTTTAGAATTTATTTTAAACCTTTTTAAAATAATTATTATAAATCATTCTTTAATAAATGAACTAAAATTGTTCATAATAAAAAAAGGGGAAAAAATGAAGAGTCACTAAACAAAGAACTCCCGCTTTTAACACTTTACCGATTGAAAGCTGTCTGTGCTTGCTATTTCCGTCGATTTTTATTTTTTATTTATCTATTTACAAAAACAGAGAAGGTAAAAAGATCATCAGTTCTTTGAAAAAAAAATATTTAAACAAAGTAGAAAAGGAGATGGATATATAATATATAATTATATATTTCTTTTAATTTGTCTCGGACCGGCAAGTTAAAATTCTATCCGCGGGCCGGATAGAACCTTCCGTTGGGCCGGATTTGGCTCGCGGACTGTAGTTTGCCCATCCATGGTGTAACCTCAAAATCTGAAGAAAAATCCAGCTGTTCCACTTCTTCTTCATAAACCCTACATAACTGTAATATTCTCACACTCCGCAAGGAAACAAGAAAAAAAATCCCATAACTCTGAATAGAGGAAATTTTCAGAAATGAATGTAATCAAAAACTGATGATCCAAGTATAAGACGCACCCCATTTTTCAAACCTATTAAAAAAAAGTGCGTCTTATACGCCGGCAAATATGGTAAATTGTATTAGATTTTAGTTCAAGTGTTCATAATAAATATATGTCCTCTTCTAAGAAAATAGAAATGTTATAACCAATTTTACCTCAAGATTGTAGATAATCTATAAGTTTCCTACTATTAATTTAATGGTATGCTGCATAAATAATTTAAGAATTTTAAAATAGTAAGTAACTTGTTGAATCATTAGGTTATATCACTGGTGTTATATCACGTGATAATTTTGCAATGCCCTCACCGGGATTCGAACTCCGGAACTCCCGAATACACAACGAGGGTGCTTCCAGTTACGTTATGCAGGCACTTGGAAAGGAGGGAGAAAATACCTTATATTCTTTCCCCTTTTAAAAGGAGACTGGGGATGAGGAAAGCCAATTGCCAAATCCTGGTAGCGCCGAATGGTCGTTCAACATTTTTGTTTTTAGTTCGGGCGTACTTGTAGAATCTTTGAGAATCTTTCGATGTCAGGAAACTGTAGAAATTCGAATACGCATCGAGTGCTCTTCCAGTTACACCACGAGGGCAGGCAGAAAGGAGGAAGAAGATGCCTTATAAACTACTAATAATGGAACAAGGATATTCCTCTTCAATTTTCATTTAGAAGTTTAAATTCAATTTTCATTTAAAATACTGCCTTTTATGTAATACTGTAGAGTTGTTAGGTTATTTTCTGATAGCAGGAGATGTGAAAGATAAACAACGCCCTCTCCAGGACTCGAACCTGACCTCTCGTATACACGTCGAATATGATAACCGTTACACCACGAAAGAGGGAGAAAATACCTTATATACTCCCCCTTTCAAAGACAGACTAGGGATTAGGGGAATCTGTCGCCGGTGAAGAAGCATCATCTACCACATTTTAGTTCGTGCGCCACTGCAGATTTATTTTAGAATTTTTCGAAACAAAGGAATCGAAGAAATGAGCAATACCCTAGCCGGGACTCAAGCCTGCACCTCCCGAATACGCGCCAAGTGTGCTAACCGTTACACCACGAAGACATGCTTGAAAGAGAGAAAATACTTTATAATTTAAGTAGTTGATTAGTTTATTAATGTCCAAAACCATTTGTTGGTTACCGGCGCCAGCCAGACCCAAGAATTAGCATCTTAATATTAAACTTTTACTAAACATCAGAAAATACTCAGAAGATGAATCCAAATACAACATAGGTATCACTAAACATGAAATACATTAAAATACAGAGTAGTAAATGCAAGAAAATATTTTAAAACCAGATCACACTAGATAATAGAACCTGTGATTGTTATGTACCAAAATAATTAAAATTGACACCTTTCCCGATTAAATGATCAAGAGGTCAAAACTATTAAAATGCATCTGAAGAAGACTCACCGATAGCTGAGCACAAAGGCTCAATCTCCGCTTTCAGAAGGTAATTATGAGTAACACGGAAGTGACCGACCATTAAGACGTTAAAAGGACTTCTTCGCTGTGCTTTCTATTAGCCAGTTACAGCCGAAAACATCGCGGACGAAAACGTTGCGGAGAAAACAACGCAAGGCGAAAACGTCGTGCTACAAAACATTGTGGGAGAAAACATCGCAGTCCTAAAACATCGTGATACAAAACATCGTCGTCGAAAATAAAGCGGTTCAAAAACTTCGCAGTTTAAAAACATCGTGGTAAAAAATAAAGTATCTGCAAATCATCGCATGACGATAACATCGCAGACATGCTTTTTTCAGGCGTTAATAACTGTAAATGGATATTCCTATAATGATTTGTGAGCGCAAGATGGAAAGAAGGATAATTTTTACTTTCATATTTTTTATTCACTAATAAATTTTTGCTGAGAAAATAAGAAGGAAACTTAAGCATAGAAAATTAATGCAACTTATAGCAATATATATTCAATAGAATTTTAAACCGACATAGTTAACTAACAAAGGCCAGTAATAAATCATTTTTATAAAGTTTTTACTGATAATTTGCAAGAAAAGTATAATCCATAAGTTGCATTTAATTAATTAATGCAATAATTTAACTTTTTCAGCAAAAATTTATTAGTCAATAAAAAACTGTGAAAGTAAAAATTATCCTTCTTTACATCTTGCGCTCACAAATCCTTATGAGAACCATATTTCCATTTACAGTTATTAAAGCCTGAAAAAAGCATGTTTGCGATGTTATCGTCATGCGATGATTTGTAGATACTTTATTTTTGACCACGATATTTTCGACGACGATGTTTTTAAACTGCGAAGTTTTTGAACCGCTTTATTTTCGACGACGATGTTTTGTATCACGATGTTTTCTCCCACGATGTTTTGTAGCACGACGTTTTCGCCTTGCGTTGTTTTCTCCGCGACGTTTTCGTCCGCGATATATTTGCCGCGATGTTATCGGCGGACACCCTATTAGCCTCCCTACGTGGTGCTATAGGCTTTATGCTTCTCAGCTCGTTATACACTTGAAAAGTCCCGGGGTCGCTGCCATTTACTCGGAACCTTGTCTGCCAGCTCGTTACGTTTTATTCCGACGATGTTTTGTATCACGATGTTTTAGGGCTGCGATGTTTTCTCTTTGCGATGTTTTCCCCCACGATGTTTTGTAGCACGACGTTTTCGCCTTGCGTTGTTTTCTCCGCGACGTTTTCGTCCGCGATGTTATCGGCGGACACCCTATTAGCCTCCCTACGTGGTGCTATAGGCTTTATGCTTCTCAGCTCGTTATACACTTGAAAAGTCCCGGGGTCGCTGCCATTTACTCGGAACCTTGTCTGCCAGCTCGTTACGTTTTATTCCGACATGTCCGTCAATCAAACAGTAACGAATTTCAGATCTACGTCTCCTCTAGTTTATACAACTTCAAAACTTCATTAATTCTGTAGAAATTCGAATACGCATCGAGTGAGTGTCGGAATATGTTCCTGAAGCTTTCAGGGCACTAAGTAAAATAAATAATAAACTTTCTCCGACATTAGAATGTCATTCAGTCGCCTGCTCTCGATATACGAGGGCGTATTCGGAAACTAAGTACCGTTTTGAAAAAAAAAATAGTAAAACAATTTTTTCGAATCCAATTTTATTTTTACATGAAAATACATGTCTTAAAACTATTTTTCAACATAGTTTCCGCCAATGATCAAACACTTGTCATAGCGGGTGACCAGTTTTTGTATACCATCGTCAAAGAAACTTCCCGCCAGTTTCGATAACCACGACTCCACAGCATTTTCGTGTCATCGTCCGATCCAAAGCGTTTGCCACCAAGCTCGCGCTTCATGTGCAGGAACAGGCGATAGTCGGACGGCGCGAAGTCCGGGCTGTACGGCGGGTGATCGAACTGCTCCCGATGAAACTGTCGAATTAACGATTGAGTGACACCAGCAGTATGGGGCCGAGCATTGTCGTGGAGCAACACAATTCCTTTACTGAGCATTCCTCTTCGTTTGTTTTGAATGGCACGCCTTAGTTTTGTTAAAGTCTCACAATATCGTGCCGTATTAATGGTTTCACCTCTGGGAAGAAATTCAGTAAGCAAAACGCCTTTCCTATCCCAGAAGACAGTGCACATGATTTTTTGTGATGACATTGTCACTTTGAACTTTTGTTTTTTCGGAGAATGAGTGTGTCTCCACTCCATCGATTGTTGTTTCGATTCTGGTGTGAAATGACACGCCCAAGTTTCATCACCTGTCACAATTTGGTTTAAAAAGTTTTCTCCTTCATCACTGTACCGCGTGAGAAATGTCAGGGCACTACCAAGTCGCTTTGTTTTGTGAACATCAGTGAGCATTTTTGGAACCCATCGGGAACACAGTTTGCGATAATTCAAGCGGTCGGACACAATTTCGAACATAACAGTACGTGAAATTTGTGGAAATGCCTCTGAAAGAGTTGTCATTGTGAAGCGTCTGTTCTCATGAATTGCTTCATCAACTTTCCTTACCAAATCATCGGTGACAACAGAAGGCCGACCACTCCGAGCCTCGGCGTGGACATTTGTTCGACCTGCATTAAACATTCTTACGCACTTCCTCACCATTCCATCACTTATCGCGTATTCACCGTAAACTTCTGTCACTTGACGATAAATTTCGGGCGGTTTAACATTCCTCGCGTTCAAAAATTTAATCACGGCATCAATCTCACAGTCAGCGGGAGAACTAATTGTCTTAAACATTTTGAATGTGCACAGAAACTGAAAACACAACATAGAGCAACCAAAATGGCGACAATTGAAAGTCAGTTAACAAGAAAGACTAGTGCGCATGCGCGGGACGCCTACCACAGCGCTGCGACGACGCTAGAATGAAACGGTACTTAGTTTCCGAATACGCTACGTACTATGCTGTTATAATTATAAATAGTGCTCCAACATCACCGATTGCTTTCGACCCATCTGTATGTAAAATATGAAATATCTATTTTTCTAACAATAAAATAATAATAGCGTAATTTGAGCATGCTCCCCCCTTCATTCTAAAAATAGCAAAGCAATAACTTTTACAATATAAGTTTATGAATATAAAAAATTACTTCTATTCAAATTTTGGTATTTATTAACATTTCTTATAACTTTACTTTTTTAATATATAAAACACGCGCGAAATCATTAAGGTTTCTTGTTTAATATGCCAAACACACCAGCGAAATCACTCTTGGCCGCACATTCCGGGAAATATGATTTACTCTATCAGATATTTTCTCACTCCTTTCGACATGCCTTTATGGTGTAACGGTAGCACACTCGGCGCGTATTCGAGAGGTCCAAGTTCGAGTCCGACGAGGGCATTGCTCATTTTTTACTTCTCCCGCATCCAAACATCCTAATGACTGTGCAATTCCTTAACCACATTGCTAATTTTGCCTTTTTTTCCAGCCATGAAATTGCTACCTTTATAATAGATATATCGTTGCTCAGAGCACAAATAATTTACTAAATTAAATTGTTATTTTTTTTTTTTTTTTAATTTTACGAAACCTTTGTTTATTTTGCGATATGTTCAAAATCAGTATTGTTCATTGTGTCCGTACATGATGAACGGTACTGATTTTTAACAGAAATTTAAATTTGGAAGAATATTTTATTAATCACGTAATATATATATGTGATCGTGTAATGTATTAAAATACGCAATGTATCTATGTGATCATATAATGTATTAAATTACAGAATGTATCTATGTGATCATGTGATGTATTAAATAACATATTTATGTACTGATGTTTCCTATGACGCATATTAATATATATTAATAAATGTCATAGGAAAAAAAAATCCACTCAATTAATCTTTTCTTACTTGTTAATTTTCAGGCATATCACACAAACGCCGCGACAAAAATATTCAGACGTGACAAAATCGAAAACTCTTGTTTCAGGTATAAAAATATAAATTTATTCACATAAAGTAAATTTTAAAAACTTTTTTATAGGAGATAGTGATTCCAATCATCATGGAAGTAGTACTAGTAGGAACTTTGGTACTTAAGTTGCAGCTTTGTGCAAATGGTAAATCCTCAAATAACATGCAGCTACTGATATTATCGGAAGCTCGCCAGTGGCAAGCGGAGAAAGACTGTGGAGCACTGGCATTTCGCATCGGTTTCTTGTAAACACGCTAACTGCATGGATTTTTGTAAGTTTTGTAATGTAAACAAGAGCCAGTTTTTCTTAGAATGGTTTTCACCAAGATTAGGTTAGGTTATTTAATTAAGGGGGCTCATACACATTAAACCCCTTAACACTCTTTGAATATGTGACTGTCGCAAGAATTGGGATATTTTATTTATTTTAAAATTAATTACTTCCAACGTTTTACAGCTGACTACATAATATAGTTGCTTTGGAAACTAGCAACCAGAAAATTTGTGTTGCCACAAATATTTTTGTAATTTAATCCGCTTTGTGACAAAATTTTTCGTCGCGTTTCCACCTTGCGCGCACGATATTTTAAAAATGGCTAATGGTACAAACTTGAAATTGGATGGAATTCTTTTTACGGGCACTATCTTCTAACTGAACCAAAAATGTGATGAATATTTTAATATTAAAAAATTTTATGCACGAAAACATTACAGATTTTTTTTTAATAAAATACATTTTATAATCTCAACTCCAAATAAAATAAAAATTTAACTTAAAATTATTAGATTTTTTGGTCAAAGTAGTTTAAAAATGTTATAAATGCTATATATTAAATATGGAATTAAATTATGCAAAAGAATGTTTTAAACTGTGCGAGCAAGGTGGAAACAGGACGCAAAAATTTTGTCAAAAAGCGGATTAAATTATAAAAATATTTGTGGTAACACAAACTTTCTGATCACTATTTCAGAAAGCAGCTATACTATGTAGTCAGCTGTGAAAAGTTGGAAGTAATTGCTTTTAAAATAAATAAGTTATCCCAATTCTTGCAACAGTCACATATTCGAAGATCTTGTGGGTTTTAAGATGTACGAATCCCCTAAGGTAAGACAACTCGAAGGCTATCTGTCTATGGATGCGATGCCTTCGTGAAGGGCTTTTTATGGTAAACTGGTAAACATGGTAAACATGGTCCCCGTTACACATGGGGAAAACCAACCATACAGCCAGCCGTTCGCCCCGATTCGATCCCAAGTCGAACTACCAGTGTTCAGTGACATTACCGCTCGGCCCCTGGTGGGTGGTGTTCACCAAGGCATTCCTTATAATGAAGACAGCACATTATATAATAGCAATTATATTAATCAACCAATCAAGTGGTATTGGTGGCAAATCAAAAATCACCAGCTTAGTAATACTAGCGAAACAAACGTTAAAAAAAATTCAATTAAATTTATTTTATATAGAAATATTGAACAAGAATTGCTTCGTGAAATCGCGCCGTAGTTTAATGTGTTAGTAAATTATGATATTTTTAATAACAAATACGCCTGTAGACATCATTCTGAGCTCAGCTAGTTCCAGAAGTACCAAATTTTATATTGAAAGATAAAATATTATTGCATATAATTTCTTGTGCTTTCTTATGCTTCTTGTGTTGTATAAAATCTGAAATAAACACTTAGTGCATAAGTTTATATGTTTTTATTCTGAAGGGATGATTGCTGAGTTACAGTGTATCCCGGATCGTGTTGGAATAACTGGTAATGAATGCGCTCATAATTTAGATAAAAAGGGAAGTCAAACTTTGAAATCAAATAATAGTGGGGTATCACCTATATCCGTTGAAAAGAATAGTAAAAACTGCTATGAGGAAAACTTTTGATGTTAAATTAATTGAAGAAATTTAAGAATAAGAAGTGGAGGGATTCGATTAATTGGAGGGCTCTAATATTTGGTGTCAACAATTAAACTGGATGTCTCTAGGTAAGATTGTTTTTTTTCCAGTGCTAGAAACATACATACATTCATGCAGATTCTTCGTCATTTAGTTTTTTTAAATATAATACAAGGCTCTAATATTTGGTGGCAACAATTCCAGGACTCTCCCAGATCTATCGCAGTTCCGGCGTTACGTTTGGAGAGCGGACATGATTGTCTAGTTAAGGGGACTCATACACCTTAAAACCCATAAGATGTTCGAATAGGTGACTGTTGCACGAATTGGGATAACTTATTTATTTTAAAAGCAATTACTACCAACTTTTTAAAGCTGACTACATAATATAGCTGCTTTCTGAAATAGTAATCAGAAAGTTTCTGTTGCCACAATATTTTTATAATTTAATCCGCTTTGTGACAACATGTTTCCAACTTGCGCGCACAGTTTAAAACATTATGTTTCATAATTTAATTCCATAATTAATATATAGCTTTTATAACGTTTGGAAACTACTGTGAACCTAAAATTCTAAAAATTTCATGTTAAATTTTTACTTTATTTTGAGTTCAGTTTATAAAATGTATTTTATTAACAAAATTTTTAATGTTTTCGTCCATAAAATTTTTCAATATTAAAATATTCATCAGATTGTTGGTTCAGTTAGAAAGTAGTGCCCATATAAAGAATTCCATCAAATTTAAAGTATGTACCATTAGCCATTTTTAAAATATCATGCACGCAAGGTAGAAACAAGGCGAAATATTTTGTCACAAAGAGGATTGAATTACAAAAACATTTGCGGCAACACAAACTTTCTGGTTACTATTTTCCAAAGCAGCTATATTATGTAGTCAGCTGTAAAAAGTTGGAAGTAATTGCTTTTAAAATAAATAAAATATCCCAATTCTTGCAACGGTCACATATTCGAAGATCATAAGGGGTCCCCTTAAACATCTGCACCGCACTGGTATTTATGATAGTCCCTCATGCAACCAGAATTATGAGATGGGCAGAAGTCATTTGCTAAATTGTTCCTCATTGAAAAAAGAAAACCGATACAGTCGATATTGGCAAGCTACAAAAGTTTATACAATTGACATCCAGCGATTATTATTATTATTTTTTTTATTTTATTTTCCTGTTTCAATGTAGATAATTGTTATCGTAATAAGGTTAATTAATGTTTTGTCTTTCTGTAATTTTATTTTTGCACTTTTTCCCATGCTCCTGTAGGGTTTATATTTATTTTAACTAACATTTATTTTAAGTTTAAGCTATCTTTCCTGTCAAGCCTTTACTTTCCCCTAGAATTGGCAATGCCAGAGTATGTAAATTGTAGTAGAACGCGCAGAGTATTCAAATTTTAGCAGAAGTAATTTGAGTTAAATAGAAAGGGAAACGAGTTTGTAAGTGTGCTTTCTTGATTCACGAGCGTGAAGGTTGCTAGGTAGAAATTTAAGAACCGCGCGTTTCGGCCTGTGTGCCTATCTCGGCAGTCCATTGAATCTTTCAACTTCTTAATCAGTAAGTTTGCTGAATCTCAGCTGTATCTTAGAACGCGGTTAAGTTAGTTACGATTATAGAGCCTCGTAGGTAGTGATCTCATTATTTATTCATCCTGTCATTTATTTTTAGTAGTATTTTTGTCTATTTTGTTAACCGCCGGGGCGGCGTAGTTTGTGAGCTTCAAGTGAACGCATCTGTGATTTCTAAAGTGGAATAAAAAGGGATTTAAACCCTTCTTACGAGTTTGTGTAATTTACAGTTCAAAGCAGTCACTACCACTGTTGCTGACAAGTTGGGGGCCACGCAACATTATACTCCAATTTCACGCATCTTTGATGCACGTAGGCCAATGATGTATAATCAAGTGCTTTTGTAATTGAAAAAAAAAAAATTCAGTAGTATCTCGGAATGAATCATTATCTTTTAATATCAATCTTATATTAATCAAAGAAGAATGTGGTTATTACTGTTTGAGTTCCATAACATAATCAGAAGTACGTACAAAAAATCTGAAAGCTTTTAGATTTTATATTACGCCTAAAGCGGTGTTTTTTAACGTTTTGTGTGTTACTTTTATTTATTAAATATCATGTTCTTCGCTCTTACTCTATAAAATTAATTTCGATAGCAACATCACAAAATATTTAAAAGTAAAAGAAGAGCATATCTTTAAGATTTCCGATACACAGTCTCGCGCGCTGGAGATAAAAATAGTTTCTTTTTCATACAGTGTTGCCATTGCTCGTTTTGAAATCGTTGAGTTTCTTGCTCAAAAGTTTGTTAAAGTTTTACAAAATATGAAATAGATAATAGAACAAATCCCAAAATTCGGCTTCCAGATGCCCGCATTCGTGTGGACGATTACGTTTTTCAAAAGTGGATGTCTAAGAAGAAGGAATGGAAGGTAAGGTTCTTTTTTCCCAGTGCGAGAATACATACATTCATGCAGGTTCTTCGTCATTTAATTTTTTTAAATATAATGCAACGCTCTAATATTTGGTGGCAACAATTTGAAAAGTGAAACGTCGTTTTATAGTGGACGACGCAAAATGCCAAAACGAAATTAATAATCCCTCTGGGCAAATTGCCCATTTGGCCTTAAAATCATTTTAACCGAAGATGTCTTCTTAGTGAATTTAGTCAAAACAGTTGTAGAGTTCCTCACTTTGTAAATGCTAAGTTACTGTTGAACGTGACGAATCTTAAGAACGGTTACAGCCGAAAACATCGCGGAACGTCGCGGAGAAAACAACGCAAGGCGAAAACGTCGTGCTACAAAACATCGTGGGAGAAAACATCGCAAAGAGAAAACATCGCAGTCCTAAAACATCGTGGTACAAAACATCGTCGTCGAAAATAAAGCGGTTCAAAAACTTCGCAATTTAAAAACATCGTCGTCGAAAATATCGTGGTAAAAAATAAAGTATCTACAAATCATCGCATGACGATAACATCGCAGACATGCTTTTCTTCATACATGCTTTTCGCAAACATGCGTTAATAACTGTAAATGGATATTCGCATAATGATTTGTGAGCGCAAAATGGAAAGAAGGATAATTTTTAC